CGTCCACACTCCCAGGAGTTAGGCATCAAAACCATGGAGTTAATCCATCAGGACATACTAACCTGATCTACTAGTGGTGTCTTAAAGATGGACAAAGTAAGATCTGAAGATAAAACATTTATCTCTTACCTTCTTTTATATTTATTTTTATCTTTGTGTGTGTGTGTGTGTGTGTGTGTGTGTGTGTGTGTGTGTGTGTGTATCCCACATGTGTGCCAAGTGACTGCAAAGGTCAGAAGGTGTCAGATCCCCTGGAGTCAGAGTGGTTATGAGCTGATCGACACCTGGATGACATATGCTGGCCTTCAGGTCCTCCACAAAGCTCCAGGCAATCCTAACCACTGAGCCGTCTCTCCAGCCCTCCCACAGTCCTAACCACTGAGCCGTCCCTCCAGCCCTCCCACATCTTAAGCAGCATTTGGTATACTATTTCTAAAACTAACACCAGCATCTCTTTCCAGTTATAACATAGCAAATCCCATAAAGACACTTTCCTTAAAGGAACACTAATTGTGCCTTTTCCTAGTACTCGGGAGGCAGAGGCAGGTGGATCCCTGTGAGTTGGAGGTCAGCCTGGTCTACAGAGCAAATTCCAGGACAGTCAGTGCTACACAGAGAAACCCTGTCTCAAAACAAAACAAAACAAAACAAAATCAACAAAACCTCCAAAACTTAATTGTTATAAAGTAAAATTTGCTGATAAAGTGAGGCAAATTAATACTAATTTGTAGGCACAAATTTGCAGTCATCATAACAAGTTTTAGGACTATCTTTTTATTGTATAGAAATTGAAGATTGAATCACCAAACACGGCACAAATCTCTTTGTCTTTATATATATATATATATGTACATATATATATATATATATATAGACAATTTTGTTTTAGTGAATCCTTTACTTTTTGTTTTTTTGTAAGGATCTAATATGGCTTTTCCAAGGAAACCTTAGAGAGTCGTTTCAACCTCAGGCTATGTGTTGCTGGAAGCTCATGGCCAGCTGGACAGGGGAGGTGGTTGCCATTGGGGTGGTGTGGAACCTGAGATGTTAAGATGGTAGACTCTGAGTTCAAACACACTGTGGACATAACTGCTGCCTCACCCCAGTTTTGCATAAAAAGACCTGGACATGTACACTGAGTAAATGCAAGTTCAGTAGGAATCTAAAACATACAATTTCTCAGTATTAAACTTTTTCTTCTCTCCTCTCTCTCCATCCTTGCCTCCCTCCCTTGCCCCATCCTCCTGTCTTCCTTTCTTATGTATTTACGTATGTGAGTGTTTTGCCTGCACGTATATATGTGCACCCTGAATGTGCCTGGTTCCCACGGAGGTCAGATGAGGGCATCAGTTCCCTTGGAAGTGGAGTTACAGATAGTTGTGAGCAGCTGTGTGGGTGCAGGCAATCAGACCCAGCTCCTCTAAAAGAGCAGTTGGTGTTCTTAACTGCTGAGCCATCTCCCCAGCCCTTCAAATGCTTTCTTACAGATTTCCATCTCCACTGTTTCAAAGTGCTGCATCCAGGATTTATCCGTGTCTATCTAGTGCTTATTGTACTATGGAACTACAGATTTAGTGCACATTCTTTAAGACTTCTCTAGCACTCACTGAGACTTCTCCCACACTCACAGAGACCTCTTTGATTCCTGTGGCTCTGTTTTATCTGCTCTATTTTCCTAAAATACCCCTTTCTGTATTTGAATGTCTGGATATACCTCCCAAATTAGACAGCATTGACGCTAATGAAATAGTGTCATGTTTGTGAGAAAACTTGAGGCTATGTATTTACCTGTGGCACAATCTAACTTATTTCAACTTCTAATTTCAAATCTAGTTAGTGGACTTCCTAACATCATTCCCCATATTCCCCTTTGTATGGAATGGAAGTGTTTATATTTCATTTTAGATTTGGATGTGAGTTAATTTTTGTTGTTGTTTTGTTCTTATAAAGGTCAAAATGTCAAAGCCCTTTATTCTTTCTCTCCAGATGCCATTGTCTCCTCAGAACTTCTCTGGCTCCTCTCCCACCATGCCCCAGCTAATGCTAACTTCATTTCCCTTTAGTTCCCCAGTCACTTTCTGTCCCTTAAGGACCCCACTGACTGTTTTCTGCACTGTGTTATTTACTGTTTTAATGAGTATTCGCTGAATACATACTGCCTGCCAGCCTATGTTCATATGTTTTTGATTGCTTTATCTAGAATCCCAATGCTTTTTCAAGCTCCAAGTGTTCACCATATCCATATTGCCGAATCTCTCTGCGCTGTACACATAATGCTTCTACAAAAATGGATATAGTATCTATAAATCCACTTTCATGCGTATCCATATCCTTAAATAGTACTGGGTGTGGAAAGCTGCTATTGTCAGTAGATAAGACTATCTCCATCCTCAGTAGTGAGTAGTCATAGCAATAAATAATAGCTACTCTCCTGATGGAGACTGTTCTCCTCCATTCCTGTAGAAGTGCTTGGAGTGGTTCCTGGGAGGGAAAATGTGACTTTTCAAAGCAAGAAGGTGAATGAACAAATGAATTGTAGTGCTACCTCTGGGGAATTAACATTAGCAGAAATCTAAGCAGGCTTTCAAAGAACTTTGGTTCATAAATAAAGACACTTATGTATCAAGGCTAGATGAAATTCTAAAGTTTCAGGGGAAATAACACAATTTCAAATGAGCTCTGTGTGTATACAATGCCAAACCATTCAAAAGCAACCTTGAACAAATTACACAGTCATGTAGGTTTTGCTAGTCCAGATATTTCCAGTCTCCACTGAGAAGATGCAAGGAGGCTCTGACCTGGTTTTACTATTCATGAATAAACTTCACTTGTAGTGGGGTCTTGCTTTAACTGGCTGCTACTAAGCAACCACAAGGTAAAAAACCAGGAAGTCAAACAGGTTAACTATGCTTAAAGCAAGAAAGACCAGACTTTGGCTTAAGGTTGACAAGATCATCCTATAGTAGACAGGAACATGCAATCATGTTTACTGTCTTTATGGTATTCTTGACTCCTTATTCCAAATTAGAGATCTACAAGGAAAACACGACTCATGAACTCCCCCAAGCTCATACCACTTTGCTATATGCTATTCCTTTTCCCATTGGCCAAGTTTTCTTGAAAGAGAAAATGTAAGACTTCCTAATTGTGCTCCTAAGGTGTTTGTCTGTGGAGGTTTCCTACTCGCTACAGACAGTGCAAGCAGAAACAGACTCATGAGCAGGCTCTCCGTGTGCCTCAAAAGTCCAGAGGCCCCAGAAGACTCTGGCTTCTGAGCTTTTCCATGGCCACCACTCACAGCTACCTTGGTGCTCCCCACGGGCAGAAATAATATTGCTTTGATTCCCATTAGAGGAAGTATCAGGTGAGGGAGTCACAGGGAGGAGGCCCTCCGTAGGGAGACGCTGAGACTGGAAATGCAAATGCGGCTCTCCTCCAGATGTGACCTGTCTTAGGCCAGTGCTGACCAGCAGCCTGCACTTGCTTTATGTTCTTTATCATTCTTGTTCCAGTGATGGATGATAATGAATTTCTGGTGCCTCCAAGGTCTGATCTCTGTGGTACTCCACCCTGTCTTCCTTTCTCCTTCTGGAACCATTCAGAAAAGCAAGTGTGGGAGGCTTATGGCCCAAATGCCCCAGTGGAAGAATGTGGGAGAGCCAGATGTGAGAGGGACCTCCCCTGAGTGAAGGATATGCAACCAAGAGTCCCAGCACATGTTGGAGAGGGACGGCTTTCTAACTAAACTCTGGATTTGTAGCATTGTGCTATCCCACATCCAAGTCAAAATGCCTGTCCAGATTAAACGTCAAAACTGCCCTGTTATCATCTCTGTGTTTTACTGAGTATCTTTGAAGAAGAAAGAATCCTTTGGGGGCCTAATTGATCCCAGGCCTAATACTTGGACATGGATTTCCATGACCACTTCAGAAGAAAAAAATCTGCTATTTTAAATCCAGGTATCACATAATGTTTCAAATGGTATGCACACATTCTGAACATCCTAAGAAATGATAGGAGGTATGTAATTTGGCTGTGCTAGCAGAGTAAGTGTGCCAAAACATCGAGAGAGGTATAGCAAGAACTAATGCCAAAACATTTGCAGTGCTGTCAACTATCAATAACTACAACGAAACTGGCTCGGATAGTACTTGGGTCATGCTAAAGAGGTCACTATGAAATCACCCAAGACCTGGGACATATAAAAACTTCATCAGTTACCAACAAAATAAAGTACAAACAAGTTTGTCTGTGAAAGGCCCTCAAATCTCATTTAAGGTCTGCATAGTCATAACATAGAATCTGAAAACTATAGGTGATATTGTAATTAGTCACTGGATTTTTGCATGTCTTGCAAGCCCTAAGTTAGATATGAATGAGGCAGGGTAAGAGATCCTTTCTCATGAGCCTGAGTGGTTAGCCGTCTGCACAGGTACACAGACCAGGTGTTTGTATCAAGCAGCTGCTAGCAATGGAATACGCCACTAATCTGAGAAATATCGCAAGCTTTATATTGCTTAAAATGAGATGTAAAACGTGCACAAAATCTGCGCTGCAGCTCTTTCTTATACAAAAAAACTCTTGTTTATTTCAAGGAATGAACATGAATATTGGCTCCCTTTAGTACCATCACACATTCAATAATTATTATGGAAGGGTACAGCCCAGTGTTTTGGTTTTGGTATATAACTGTTCGTGATTTGTGCTTTTTAATTGGGAACAATGATAGTGTAAATAATCTAGGTAAGTTCTAAAAAGTGTGTGTGCGTGTGTGTGTGTATGTGTATGTGTGTGTGTGTGTGTGTGTGAGAAAGAGAGAGAGAGAGAGAGAGAGAGAGAGAGAGAGAGAGAGAGAGAGTCCACTATAAGGAGCAAATATACACAATGGAGAGTGGAAATTTACTTTAAAAAGATTGAACTAAAAATTTAAAAGCATTATACTGGATGCTTTTATTTCTAAACATTACAAAAAGCTCTCTTTGACAGACCCAGTCACTCACCTCATAATATAACGGTAAACTGCTGCTCGTGGGCTTTTTCCCCTTTTTAGCTGAAGCAATCCCAGCAAGTCCCTGTATTTCATCGATCTGCAAGACAGTTGAATTAACTTATTATGGATGAAAGATTTCCTCAAGAAACATACCGATTTATGAAACTGTCAAAAACCTTAGTGATTTAAATTAAGCCACTAGGCAACTTAGCAAGAAAGTATCAGTCATCATGTAGATGTGGTACCTAAACCTCCAGGCAGGCTGCTGGTACCTGCCAGGGGTGTGTGCCTCCTGACAGCCCTTCTCTATAGCCCATGGCTCTCTGACTTGAGCAAGCCAGGATTCTCTATAGACTTCATTTTTCAGTTAGTCAAGATCTTACCTTATTTAGTCTACTCTTATCTAACCTTATAGTAATTAATTCCTCAGAGAATTTAGCATCATGCCTGGAATGGTTACAGAAATCTCTGTCAACGAAATGAAATTTTAATGGACTACATTAATGAAAAGGCTAGTCTTTTCAGATTAAACATTTTAAATTGATTATAGATTGTACATTTTGTTTAAAGTCATCCATCATAAATAACAAAGTAGTCCAAGACATGATCATTGCATACTCTAAAATTTCAATCCGTTACTTTAGGGAAGGACGTCTTTGGAGGGGCTGGGGCAGGAAGAGACAGGTACCTGATGGAGAATGTCTTGCCATGACACTATACTGAAGAGTTTGCGTTGAGGGACTTGGACAGCCATGTCTAGGGCACGAATGAGAAGAGCATCCTCAATCCGGTTCTCAACCACAAAAGCGATGGAGGCCTTCCAGTCATTCTGTTACAAGAGCAGACAGAATTAAATGCTCAGTGTTCTTCACTCATCAGGGGCTCCCACTTTGTCAAAGGCTCCCACTGAAAATTGGAATAGTTTCCCTATAAATCTTACTTTAAGGACAGGGTTGACCTTGAAGTCCATGGGAGTTTTTGACCAAAGTAGCCACAAGGCGGCAGTATTGTGCCAAATTTCACGTAACTCGACTAAAACCATTTTTCTTGAAAAACCAGGAAAACCATTTCTGAAGGTAGATAAATCCCAGTAAAATGTTGTCTCTCCCACTCCCCAAAAGTTGGTGTTTGCAATCAATATATCATTCCTGTTCCACAAATGTCCATTAAAGTACAGTCTCATAGCAGTAATCACTGTTTCATTTCCTGGTCCTTTCTCTAGACAGTGACTCTACTTGGTGCTAGTTTTATAGAAGACACTCAAGCAGTAATTGCTAAATGTTGGGTGACTTTGAGCGAGTTGCTAGTGGGAATCAGAACACACCTTCTCCTCTTACAGTAAACATGAATGTGACTGTTAATTCACAGGGTTCCTTCCATGTCTAGGAAAAAGGCTAAAATGTTATAATGGGACATAGAATTACAGCTCAAACAATTTGAAGAAACAAATTACTAAGACAGTAATTTCACTCTGCAATTCCTTTATCTCCACTTGGAAAAGGTAATTCTCAGGGAGACTGAATGGAATATCACGCATTTACCCCCATCCTTCACTACCTCCTGGTGTTTAAAAAGAGGCAGAATTCTGATTCTGAACAAAACAGTCTCATGAGGACTAGCATGCATGACAAAGACATAAGAGAGAAGAGATGAGTTTTAGGGAGGGCACCTCAGTCACATGACCTCACCAGGCCTCAGGGTCCTCATGTGTAAAATAAGACAGTTGGGCATGGCCATGTCTAAACTACCCTCTATCTCAGCAGTTCTCAACCTATGTGCTGTGACCCCTTTGGGGGCCAAATGACTTTCACAGGAGTCACCTAAGACCACTGGAAAACACAGACATTTGCATTACAATTCACAACAGCAGCAAAATTACAGTTATAAAATAGCAGCAAAATAATTTTATGGTGGGGGGGGTCTCCACAACATGAGGAAGTGTATTAAAAGGTCACAGCATTAGGAAGGTTGAGAACCACTTGCTCTAGTTATTTCTGGGAGACTGACATCAGTGGAGTAAAGCCTGCTATTGGTGGATGCCAAAATAATGTCTAAGAAGACTGGGAAACTTCGTGCATTTTTTTTGTATGTGTGTGTGTGAAAAATGCACAATTCTGTGTGACTCTCTGGACCCTCTGGGTTCATAGTCTGGCTGACTTCAGAATCAGAATCGAGGTGTTAGCAGAGAGGCAGGGTCCATTCTTCCCATCAAAAGGACCTGTCTGCAGTGTTTTCCATGGAAACTTACTACATGACAAGATCCTCCCAGGTAAACAAAGCATATGTGGGAATATAAAAATGCACGCGTTACTCACAGAGACAGTTACAGTTTGGGTGCGTGCAGGTAGGTGTGACCTTGTTTTGAACTGTTACTGAGTTTAGAACATTCCCTTTGGATGCTCATTTGGTGTAGAAAGAAAGAACATGCAATTATTTTTTTAACATTCTGGTTCCAAAAATTAAGTATTTTAACAAACTGTTTAGAAAATAATTTCATTGCCACGAGCTGACTTTCCTTGCACTGGATATCATCGCTATCTCTAGTGTACTCTCATCAAAGCTTCATCAACAGTGAGGGCTGGAGGGAAAGCCTCTTCCGTTCTCACTGGAAAGTATTCATCTATTCTGGGTCGGTGGTATGTTTAAGTTCCAACACTGAAAACTACTACCCCCTTCTCTCTTTTTTCTGCAAGTTTCTTTGCCGATATTTGAAAGCTAACGGTGACAATAGCTTCTCCCTCTACTCTTTTAAACACAATTCCAAGAGAGGGTGTTGTAGCCCATCGGCTACCTAACCATTAGGATCTGGTGTCAAAGGCAGATGTGGGCCATTCCAGACAAGAAGAAAGAGGGGAAGTGGAGGAAGGAACTAACAATTACTGGGATCTGCCATGTGCCAGGCACATGTTACCCCACCAAACCCCTAAGTAACTCTGTGAAATAAGCATCAATACACTGTAGGCCTGGGAGTTCAATGCCTTGTTTAAGATCATTTTGGCAGAAACCCATGGGGATTACCAGAAAGCTTACAAATCTGTGATTATTTCAGGACAGTTCTGAGGGCAGGTCACCAGAGTCTGAATGACACGTTACCATTTGTCATGTGTTACTAATTGATGCAGATTTACAGTACTTGTAAAAGTGCATGGGGCCTTCAGAAATAGCTCACATCCAACCCTGAAAGCATCATATATCACTTTTTTAAAAATGGCATTTTACAGGGAGGATGAATGGTTAAGGCGATCTTCCAGGGCTCACTCAGTTCCTTTGCTCTAGAGTGCTTAAAAGAAAAAACAAAAACAAAAAATAAACAAACAAACAAAAAACAAGCAAGTCTATTTTTTTCCAACCCATGGTCCTGTATGTTGAAACTTGTGGCCTTCCTGATATGACATAGAGACAGCTCATCTAAGGAACAGCCAGTCAGTTCCCTTATCTGATAACATCTATAAAGTCCAGCTATGGTCTATGGTCTTGGTTTCACCCACACACTGGTCCTTAAAGCTGCTTCTAAATTAGATCTGTTTGTCAGGTAGGATCCATAAAGAGTGTTGGTAGAGCTACATGTTCTTGTCTAGTCAGATGCCCAGGACCCCAATAAACATGAGACAGAGTGGTCAGTCTCCCAGCATGCCTGAGGGGAAGGCTGCACCAAATGCTGGCTGCTGCAGGGGGAACTGGGATGCTGGTCTAAGCACACTCCTGGATGAGAGCAGAGTGGAGGGTACCTAAACAGATGAGGCTCTAGTAGCATTCCAGGAAAGCTGCAGGTTCCAAATGTCTGCCATCAACAACTCATTTAGAAATAGGATATCGTTTTAGACAAACAAGAGGACACGGATTAGATTTGATGAAATACTGTCAAAAACAAACACCCCCCAAAACAAACAAACAAACAAAAAACCCCTTCTCCATTTAATCCCACTTCAACGTACAGTCAAACAGAATCTTTACATTTAAGTTCACAGGAAAGCCAGAGAATTTGGTATAGTGGGAATGAGCATTGACCATGGGGGAGGGAGGTGGCAGTGTGATGTCACACCAAGTGAGCACAGGTATGGGTGCAGGAGTATTCCCACCTGTGGGCAAGCTCCAGCCAGTTCAGGGAGTTGGGGTGTACTGAGCAGGGGCTGGGAAATGAAAACTGGCCATGTTAGAGAACGCGGTGGATGGTGGATATATTTGATGGTGAGGGAGAAGGCTTTTACTCTAGTATACTCCCGTGCCTTTGACAACGAAGGTGGCTCCCTGCTACCTGGAGACATAAATGCCCCACAGATATTGCTGAGACCTCTCCTAGGAGTTACTGACAAAACTGGTCAAAAGTGGAACGGAATCATGTAGAGACACAATTCATTACCTTCTATTTGCTTAAGCAGTTTTACCTAATTTGAGGCCTAGCAGGAGGGCGTCTCAACCCAAACACTTACATGTAGTCTCCTAAGGCAAGAAAGCATTCAGTACATGCAGGGAACCTGGCCAGAGCACAAAGCCTCCAGTCTCACAGACATGGGGTAGATTTAGAACTATTTTTCTTTCATATATTAAAAATTCTCCAAATTTTACTAGGCATTCCATATTCTAATATGATTATAACGACTCTGTCACCAGCAAGTGAGACCTAGCCTCTGGACAATGGGGCTGTGATTGCCTCCTGCTGTTAGTAGGAGCAGTCAGCTGATGGGGGTGGGGGGCAATGGAATGCTGTCTTGGTGGCTTTCCATAACACTTCCGGGAGGAGGTCTCCATTGGCCTCTATCCAGAACTGACCTGGGAACCTTCATTAGTAAGAGACACATAAAAGTCATAAGTAAAATCCATGAAGCATCTAAGAAGTTGGGTTTTACTGAGAACCATTTAGCACAACAGATAAGCAAGCCTGTACTTGCTGTCAGTACTCAGCTGGAAGGGACCCTTTTTGTCTTGTAGATTTAGTGCCAAATGGACAGGGATTTGTGAATGTCTTTCTCAGGCTAGGTTTTTCCTTTCAGAAGAAGACTTGGCTCTCCATCAGCAGAGGAGTGTTAGTGTGGGCTTTTGGCCAGGAGAAGAAATATTTTCATTACCTCAAACTGGCTGCTGCGATTGTATCTGTTAAAAAGGAATTTTTAACTGTAAACTAAGTTGAAAGTAGAGGTTCAATAATAGACACATGTCATACAATACACAAGTACAATATTAATGATGACGACATGCTTTTACCTAACTTTTTAAGGAGGCACGTATTATATATACATAATTATATAGCTTGCATAATTTCTCATAAAACTTAGTTTGATCTATTAGTGCATATTGCAATGAAGAATCTTTGTTTAGGAATCAGATCATATGGCTGTCATATTTTCACAAGTAGACTGTCAACTCTTGAGGACAGTAATAATCATTTATATACCAGTATACCTTGTGGTGCCTGGCATGAACAAGAAATAGAGTCGGGAGCTCTATAGAAAGGCGTGGGGAGATCCACTGGGTCACTCAGGGGACTTTGACTCTTGGAATCATAAATTGTGATACAGTATCACCCCCAAGTAGCTGTAGGGTGCCCATTTTTCACTCCCCTAGAGCAGAACACCAGGGGTCAGTTACAAGGATTTAGGACCTGCTAATACATGCTTCCTGAGAGTGATTTTGGTGAGCACCTGATGCAAGGGGAAGAGCAGGCTAAAGGCCCACAAACAGCACTAACTATGAAACCACTCCCTCTCTCTTTACTCCTTCCTGCTCTTTTCATCTCCCATCAAAATGATGTCCTGGTCCCTCCTTCTTCCCTTCTCCCACTACAAACAGACCACAAGTTCTGTGAGCTGAAATTCTATAAGCTTGATCCAC